TCAGTTAGACCGTCTGTTAGAGCCTTTGGATATGCTTGTATCCATCGAAATTGCTTGGATATCCCTTTGTCACTTTGAATCTCTTGGAAACCACAAACTGTTGTTACCTCGAATAGTTGACTTGTTTGACCTTGTTTTGGGAATGCAAGATTGTTTAGTGTTTCTGGTTTGCTAAATGTTAAATGGTTTCATTGCGGTAAAGAATGAAAGAAGCTCTTCATTGGTCACTGCGTGAGAACAATCGACGTTTGTTGAATCTGAAAAATATGAGTAGATCGAGAACGGAAAAATGGCACTTTCCACTGACTTTGATTGGATCAAGCACAGATGAAAACTGTACGATCAATAAACCACTGGACTGCTTTCAAGGTGTGAATTCAAGTCAATCTTAAAGTTTACTCGAAGTATCGCTTCCAAAGGATTAACTGGCAAAGAAAGATATAGTTGGATAGATGGACAATAGTTGATGACACGACCTGAGATGAGATGAGAGAAACTGAACTCATTGCATACCGGGATAGATATATTGGCCGTAGAGCTAAACTGGACATTAGTGATAAGGAAGTGATATCACTGAGCATTTGTTATCATTGTTCTAATACAAGTGAGACTTGAATGTGTTGATGCGTTCTAACGGATCTTGATATGTGTCAGGAGTATATCGACGGTTCTATAAATCGCTACTGGAATTTCAACACCCTGAAACCGGCGAACGGCATGCACCATATTGGACAATTGATGAGAACTCAACTGACAAGAGAAATTCGCTTGCACCAAATCCACAACATTTCATTTACGGCAACGAGCCGACCCAATTGGATTGCGGCAGTGTTGTGGCCGTTAATATTGTTGCAATAAGAATTTCTCTATGAAGTTCAAGCTCTGAATTCTGAGCTGAATCCAGATTCCGAAACCAGACAGCTTTTGAAGCTTACAGATGCATATTCACGACGAATTTAGCGGGGAAATTCAGGTTTTGGGCGAGTTTATCAGGGATCACGAGAGATTTGAGGTATTCGCTTATGATTTGGAGGTATTTGGAAATTGGTTGCGGGATATGCTTGAGATTAGTTGCGATAGGCTTGAGGAGAGTTTGTTTTCGGACTTATAATTGTATTACGATGGCTTACATCTCGTGTGGGTGTCTTGCGAAGAAATTTGCAAGTGAATGAATGTAATGCAATTACTCCTAAGCATGCATGAGCCTTCGAAAGCTGTTTGATGTATCAAGATAATGTTTTGTGTCTAAAAAAAAATGCACTTTTAGCCCAATTATGAGCATTATCGTTATCGCATCTCTTCTTCATCGATCTGCCCAAATTGGAAGCAGATTATCATTGAAACCGAAGTATTCATATCGCTTTAAGTTGCGCTCTGTTGACTTCCTCATACTTGGGTATTTAATCCGGTGTTTTTATCTTCAACTCCAACTCGGTTATTTAATCGTTAATGATATTTATTAATTCCTGATAATGTATAGATATGGTGGTATTCAATAATTATTTATGCATTCTTATCCTTGTATAGCATCGCAATATTCAAATAGTTTCGTATTGGTCACTGTGTATTACTAGCACTAGTGTCATTGGTATTTTTATTTTGATCACAATTCACGTTGTGTTATCGAACAATGGCCAAGAGAATGCGAGAATAGTGCCTTGCTGAAAAAAATATTTTATTGTACGATTACAAGAGGGGCGGGCACATTTTGCTCAAAATACTGTGGGTTATTTGTTAATTATCTTCTGATTACTATCATTTCGAGACGGACAATTAATAAGAGGTTTATCTTTAGGGTATGAATTTGTTTGCGGATTTGTGTGACAAAAATAGGGTAATTCGAAGAAAACTTGTGGTTTCAGCAAGAAAAATTGGCCACGTAATAAATGGTGGAATATTATTAAGAAGTTTGAAAAAAGCATTTTTGAAAGAGAAGTCAATTCATAACGCACATAATTATTCTTCACAAAGCAGAATTCATGATTCTCTTCTTCGTTTAGTTTCTTGAGCTTGATTTCGACCTGTCGAGTGTGTTTAAGACGGGATTTTTGGGCTGTCTCTGAGCACATTTCTGCGAAACGACAAGCATTGAATGTTTCTTATTTTAATGATCGTTCTCCTCCGCTGTCATATCTCGAATATTCTTATATTCTCTTGAAAACAACCTAAACAAGTTCATTTGGCTCGAGACTGTTTCCGGTGTCTTTGTGACTTGTGATTGTAAGAAGTTGTCTATTGTTGTCTCTCTTCAACTAGAATTCTTCGCTGTCTATGTATAATATAAGGCCATTTCCGGATCAGAATTTCACTATACTGAATAGATTGCTGCAAGATTTTGCGCAAATCTTAAGCAATCTATTCATTTTTCATTAATAAATTATTGTTTGGAAAAGGAATTCCTTGGTAATTTCGGGTAGATCAACTAAATAATCTCACAAGAAGCAGTTCAATGTCTGCAAAGATTCTTTATCCGGAATTCTTTTCATCCGTTGACTAACACTAAAATGCTGGATAATATTTTGCTCTTCAAGTATCGGAATGTGAGTTCAGTCATTGATTTTGTCATTTTGGTGAGTTTGAATCGCTTTGTTTTGTGTCATACGAATGAGTGGCTGTGACATTGTACTTATTTTCTTCTCATTGAAGCCGTTCAAGTTCACGATGTCGCGAAATTTCGGTGAATGTTACAATTGAATGCGACAGAACAGAAATGACAAGCCTAAGCCATTTGTTTATAAATGTGTCATTGAATTAATTCATCGGCAATGAGAATGTTCCACACGCAATATCAATAAAACAGAAAAGCACTTCTGTTCTCTCTGACGTACGCATACAATGCAATATGCCTAAGAGCTAGCAACTCGATATTTTATGCTTAAAACGAATGTTTTTAATGAATTTTGTATCGTCAAAAGTAAACAGTAACGCTCTGATTGCTCCTCAAAGGACAACACAATTGAAACGAATTCACATAAATCAAATATGAATAGATAACGATGGCTTTTGCAATGTCCAGATATCTTTCTAGATATTCGAATTAATATTCACTTGTTCATACTATTAGTTGGATTACTTTATCGAAATTCTATCTTATAACACACGTTATTACATTTTCAGTTTGCTTCAGCAAGAATTAGTTTCATTTCTTTTCTCTTTAAACGGACAATGTCTAGAGGATAGTATTATGTCTTTTATGTGTTTCAAGGTTATCGCATTGTTAAGTGCTTCTTTTTTCTCGGTGTCAAATCATTTGTGAATGATTTTATGAGATTTCATTTGTGTGACACGCAAAAGTACAAAAGTATTCACAATGAATTTTGCACACATTGCAATAAGGAGGCTTTGATGAGATTCGAACAAAGGGAACGCATGCACACAATATATTTGATTATTTTGTATTCTATTAATCGTGATTTCATCGACGAATGAATTTTGTTTTCATGAGATTTATTCTTTTGTGTTTCGAAATTGCGTGATACAAAATTGGAACACTGCTAACGCTTCGGTGATTCAACAGAATACGAGAGAAGAATATGGGGAATTTAGACATCGCAGTGAATGCACTAATGTCAAATACACTCTTTTTTTTTGTTGTTTTCGAATTTTCGAAGAGTTCAAATCGTTTATTTGTATGAATCTGGTTGGTAATAAATATTCTTGTTTTGTTAATTGTCATTTTCATTATGATTCACTTATCTTTTTTTTTGAATTCTGAATCCTTTTTCACTTAAAAATTCTATTTTTGTTCGAAAAAGCGAGCAGAAACTCAAAAATTTCAGCTAATTTTTCCACTGTTCAATGGGAATCATTCTACTTTTTGCGGATAA